CACTGGGGCCTGGGGCTTTCCACTCCTCCAAGCTGCTCCAAATGTGTTAGTAATAAAAACTTTTTGTCTGGTTTGTATTGCTGAAGCTTTTTTATAAGCATAAATGAAGAAAACTAAAGAAGCAATTACAAATTCTTTACAGCACAGGCCCAGAATTCATCAGTGGGAACTGTCTTCAATAGGGACATCTATTCCTGATGGGTTGTGACAACAAGTGGTGGCTGTGGTGTCCCCATTAATTTGTTACAAACATGTACACACCACTCACCATTTTCAGGCAGCTTTCTAAGCCCTTTACATATAGCATCTCAAACCACTGTTATCATCACCGGTTCACACATGAGGAAACTGAAGCAAGGAGAGATTTAAGTAAATTTCCCAAGGTCACAGAAATAACAAATAGTGGAGCCAGAATTTGAACCCCTTTAGAGCTCTTGTTTACAGCAGTGTGGTAAGGAATGAGCAGAACTCAATGCATGTGGTAAATAATTATTAATTGCAGTCCTTGGGACCCATACCATCTCTTCTCTGTAGTCAGCAGGGGGAGCCAGAACCCCTGACTGAAAGTGGAACTGCATTTGCTAAAGAGACATGCCCAGTTATTCATACCTGGTTTGGGGTATTTGAACGAGTCAGATAGAGTTGCCCCATGTGTGGGGATCCCCAATTAGTGAAAGATAAATCGCCTGAAAATTATTTACCCCAGAGGAAGCCTCAAAATGAAAAAACCAACTGTCTTGGATCATGCAGCTATTAAGTGGCAGATCTGGGACTCAAGACACCAAAGTCTATGCCCTGGAGCATAAAGGAAGACACGTATTCAAATGTTTCCTGCTGTATCTGTACCCAGCACAGGGCACCACACATCTTCCTCTTCAGTGTGGGTTTGATGAATGTGTGAATGAGGAGAAGCTAGAGCCAACTGAAGAAGATTAGCCAGGGAAGAAGGGAGGTTAGTCAAGGAAGACTTTTCAGATGAACTCCTAGTGGGTGGTCTTGAAGGATGAATTAGGAGCTTGCCATGTGAAAAGGAGGGGAAAGGCATTCCAGGCATATGCAAAGGAATAAGAGGGTGGAATAAAAAGTCTCTCACTTGTTTTAAAAACATCAGAACCCACAACACACACACACACACACACACACACACACACACACACAATTAAAACTTTATTATATACAATGTCCTCTTGCTTTCTGGTCCATTTTCATTTTTTAAATGTTAATGGAAATCCACTGATTTTCTGTGATGTGGAGGCGTTGGGAAAACTGGAGATTGGAAGGGAGTTTGGAGCCAGTCTGTGAAGACCTTTGTAAATCAGCATGATCATCTGGACCCTTTTTAGTCCTTGCCTCCTGCAAGGTTAGACCCTAAAAACCTCTTGCTCTTTTTCTAGCAATTTGAGTAACTGCCTTCTTCCCTGGCTAATCTTCTTCAGTTGGCTCTAGCTTCTCCTCTTCCCCAGCTGGTTCTTTAACTCATGCTGAGTTCCTGGGGTTCTGTGCTGGGCTCTCCACACTGGGCCTCCTTGGCCTCCCACAGCACCCATTCTCATCTTGGTTTGAATGATGGCTGCTTCTCACTGTGGAGTTCTGCCACTTTTGAAGGCCCTCCCTTTTGAGTGCCAGGTACACACAATCAGCTGCCCTCCCACTAACTTACAGATACCTCAAACTCCCAATGCAGTTCATCACCCTCTGACTGGCTCCTCTCCCATCCCAGCTCCATGTTGCCCTCACTAGTCCAACACACTGTCTCACAGAATAGGATCTTATCCTTGGGGTTTCCTCATCATGTCCATTCTTCTCTCAATTCCCTCTGCTTCTCTCCATGCCATCTGCCACACCCTTGTCCAGGCTGGGCCCTTTCTCTCCGGATAACTGTTTTACCACCTGCCCTTGTCTCCTGCCCCTTTCTGTTTATGCCCCATAAGAGCTGCCATGAGCCTCTGAAAAAGAAATCAGATCATGTGACATCCCTGCTTTAAACTTATTGATATTTCCTAAATGTATTCCCAGTCCTCCTCTGGGCCCCTTCTCTGAAACCTTTTCCACTCCACTGTCTCTAATGCTCTGTTCTCTAGATCCAGGGGCCCTGCTTCCTCTGGCTTCATAACCTCTTCCTAGTTAACACCAACTCATTCCTTCTGGATCCCAGTGTAGGAACATCTCCACGAAGCCTACCCTGATTCACTCAGGCTGGATTTAGTGACCCTGCCACAGTGTTTCCACAATCCACTGTGCATCCCCCAGCTTCATGCCTAACACCTCCTTTTTAATTGCAGTGCCCCAAGTCTGTCTTTTCCATCAGATGGGCAACAGAATTGAGGGGTTAAGGGCAGATGTCAAAGCCAAACCACCTAGATTAAAATCCCAGCCCTACCATGTATAGGCAATGGGAGTTTGGAACTTTATTTAATCTTCCTGTGATTTGCTTTCCCTCTACTGTAAAGTGTTGGTAACTATGATTATAATAATGATATTAACAAGAAGAACAGCTGTTAGAGGGTTAAATGATGCCTGGCACATAGCAAGTGCTGTGTCTTTGGTGGTTTAAATCAGCATTCAGACTAGTTACTCCAGGAGAGCAGACCCTGGATTTATTGGACCCACCACTATGTCCCCAGCTCCTGCCCCAACATCCTGGTTATGAGTGTGATACAAATGCATCTTTGGTCTCAGAGAATGGTGATGCATACAGATAAGAAAGTAACATTTGAGAAATGCTTTGGAGGAGACTGTTGAGGGCTCCTTGTGGGTGAGACAGGAGGAGGAAAAACCTGACAAGACAAATCTGTGATGTATCCTCTCAAATATTCGGCTGTTTCAATTCACACCCCCCACCCAAGCATTCATTGGCACCTCGATCCATGAAGGACTCCAGCTAGCATAAGAGTCATTGCATATTTCTCTCTTCTCTTTCCCTACCCCTGCTTTTCTCCAATGAGTCCAAGCCCAGCATCTTCCTTCCTTTCTGCACCCCACTTCTACCCTAGTTGTTCCAATTAGGATTGATGTGTCACAAGTAACAGTAACACAGTGGCGTCAAACAACCATTTCATTATCTTCACAAATCATGGGGTTCAGCAATTTAGGCAAAGGCACACTGGGGACAATCACAGAAGCAGTCTACAGAGCCTTAGCTGCGGAGAGTCAAAGGCAGGGGTGACTGAATCCAGCCGGGTGATTCCAATGCTGAACTCATCTGGGACTGTGGACTGGAACACGTACATGTGGCTTCTAAATGTGCCTGGGCTTTTTCAGTGTGGCCGCCTCGGACCTGCCGTGGTGGGTCAGGGCTCTCACAGGTATTCTAGCTGAGGCAGAGGCTGCACTGCCTCTTATGACATAGCCTTGCAAGTCTTGCAGCATCACTTTGAGCACATCTCGTTGGTCAGAAATCGGCCCAAATTCAAGCAGGAAGAGCACAGAGAACCCATCTCTTAATGGGAGGCATGTCAAATAATTTTGTGGCCATGCTTCAAAACCACCATCTGAATCCCAAACACTAATGTCTTGTACCTGGACCTGCTCCCTGGTCTGCCTGGCTCCACTGTGGCCAATCCTTCCAATCTCCTCAGTGGGTTCTCCACGGCAGCCTATGGGAGCTTTTAAACACACCAGTTACCCTTTTTCCTGTCTCTCCAATATTTTCCTGCTGAACTTCCCACGGAAATGTAGGCTCCCTGACATGGCCACACAGCTGCATGGGATCTGCACACCCATAACCTCCTTTCCACCTCACTGGCCTTCTTTCTCTTTCTTGACTGCTGATCCAGTCACCTTTCCTTCCCAAAATGTCAGGCCCCTAAATCCTGTGTCCTTCAGATCTCAGCAGGAATGCCACCTTGCTGGATCTAAAACAAACCCTGCATCACACAGTGTGTCTCTCCCATAACTCTGTTTTATTATCTCCACCTGTCCCTGAGGTGTCTGAAATTATGCATTTGTTTACTTTTGGTCTGTCTCCTTCACAAGTTCCAAGAGAGAGAAAGACCCTTGTCTCTCTTGTTCCTCATAGCCTAGGTTCCCCACCATGACGGGCAAAGGCATTTATGGGTTGTGAATGAATGCATGAATGACAGTTTTCCAAGGAACACGTGCGTGGTTTGAAAAAGCAATTATAGAGGAAAGGCAGGCATGGCCTGTGATGGCTGTGGTGGTGGAGGTAGCCTTGCTTCTAATTGGGTTCTGCCACTTACTAAGCCGGGGTCTTTGGGAAAACACCTTGGTGTCCCTGAGCCCCAATTTCTTCAGCTGAAATGAATCCAAAAGCCCCTAGCTCACTGGAGGGGTGTGTACAGTATATCACATGAAGGATTCAGCACCTCTGACCAGCCCAGGACAGTCCCTTAGTGAGGCTAAGCTGTAACACCTGTAATGTTCGCCAGGTGTCGCCCCACAGTGAGTTCTGAGCCCTGCGCTTCTGGGTGGCTCCGCAGCCCGACGTCTGGCTTAAATGCGGAGCGTCTGGGCCTCAACCTGACTCTGTCCACTAGCCACTAGGAGCGGGGGTCCAGAGAAAGCTGCTCGATCTGGGCACCCACTTGCTATCCCCCATCGAAAAGACAGGAGCGGGGGAAGAATATGCTGAGTCAGTTATCCCCGCTCCGCCATTAGCCCTAAGGAAGGGGTGTCCTCTCCCAAGAGGGTCTCCGAAGCCCCGGGGAAGGCGGAACTCGGATGCGACCTAACACCCTACAGCAGCTCCAAGCTCTAGGCCCGGCGAAGAGGACGGGAGACAGGTCAGAGCCCAACCAACCCCGGATTCCCCTCTCCGCCCCGAGTGCAATCCTGAGCGCTCACTCGCCCCGCAACTTGCGAGTTAGCGACCTCTGGGGATAGAGCAGACTCCCACCTCTCCCCACCCGGCTCCACGTTTCAGAGCCGGGAGAGGGCGCCTCGCGAGCGCGCGCCGGGAGCAGGCGGCTGGGTCCGAGGCTCGGGGCGGGCGCTCCGGGGGGCAGGCGGGGTGGGGGTGAGAAAAGAGGGAAGGAGGGGCCGGGCGGGCGGCTGCAGGGTCCCGCACTCCCCGCGCCTCGCACATTCGCAGCGGCAGCTCGCGCGCAGTGCGGTGTCGCCCGGCGGTGCGCTCGCTCCTCCCCTCCTCCTCCCGCTCCGTGGATCCCGCGTTCCCAGAGGCTCAGGCGCCGAGTGCGCGGACGGGCACGCGAACAGACGGCCCAGGGGACGCCTCGGCCCGCACCTCCCAGGCGGGCTATGTTGATTGTCCTACCGGGGTCGGCCCGCGGGATCAGCACAGCTCGGCCCGCGGCCCCGGTGACGAGGGGGGACTATGAACCGGAAAGCGCGGCGCTGCCTGGGCCACCTCTTTCTCAGCCTGGGTATGGTCTACCTCCGGATCGGGTAAGGGCCTCTCGCAGCCCCTGCACGCGTGTCCCGGCAAAGTTGGCGTGGCCTGGGGAGAGGCTGTGCTGCCTAAGAGCCGCCGTCGCCCCATCAGAGAGGCCGGGTGGGCAGGGTGCAGGAGAGGTGGGTGCACAAAGGCAGGTGCCCCAGTTATTGTACCTTAGTTCGAGAGGTCCGAGCCGGTAGACCCGCCATCCTGAGGATGTCTGAGTCTGGAAGCCCCCAGAACTAGAGATAGCTAGTAGGGACGCTCCAGTTTGGGGGACTAGGGCTAGCCAATTTCAGAGGCCCTTTAGTCCAGGGCATGGGAACAGCAGGTCCAGCAGAAACACTGAGCGGTATCTGGGACCACAACCTCTCCCAGGGAACTCATCCCCCAGAGCTCCAGAGGCACCGACACAAACGCTCCTAGAAACAGGGCAGTGCCCGCGGGGCAGGCGGGGCCGTCCAAACAACAGGGAACAGGTACCCAAAGGGAGGGATGTTCTTTGACAAAAAACACCAACCTTGCTTAGAACCCTGGAACTACACGATTGCCAAGAATCCTTGGACGTTCAGAGCCTTTCCTAGCCCAAGGGGACAGCGTCTACTAGACGAGACAAACACACAGAGACAGGACAAGAGCTGGCCCCAAGTCGCTGAAGGAGACAAGCTCGCAGAGTCAGCGCCTGAGAAAGGCGGGGCACCCTACCCTAAAACTGGGTGCCAGAGTCTGTCTGCGCGCGGGCAGAGCTGTCTCTCCCCCGCCTCCCCCCCCCCCCCCGCCCCCACATCACTGCATTTCTATGGAGGTGGGGCCTGGGGCGGTGCTCTGGTTGGAAGGTTGGAGTGGGGGCTCCAAATGGGTCTTGGAGCTACATTTGTACGGCCCAGTAACCCTTTGTACTTAGGAGATAATGCGTATGAAGCACTGAGGGGTGATGAGGGGCCGAGGGAGGGCTTAAGGATTGGTAGAGGTGTGGCGCTGATGGTCCACCTTGGCAGCTGGTTGGACCTGCTCTCCTACCCCCAGCTGGGAACCTCCCTACTGCTCTGCTTGGGGAGGAGCGGGCTGGCTGCCCAGGGCTGCTGCGAGGAGTGGTGTGTGGTAGATCCTTTGTGTTTTGTCACTACCACTTCTCCCCTTTGCCCACCTCGCGTCTCCGGAGCAAGGATTTCTCAAGTTGACCTGCAGTGGAAGCAAGCAAGGGAGCACAGAGCTAAAGAGCCGGCCCGTCAGCCCAACTGCTGGCAGAGAGCAGGTGACTGCGGGTGGAGAGGCGGCTGCGGGCCCTGCGCACTGCCGGCCTCCTGTGTGTTTTAAGTATTATTGATTTGCCAGCGGCTGAGTGCCTTCTCCCTCCCTCTCTCTTCCCACCTGCTTTAATCTTCACTTTGGCTCGTGCACCCGCTGCCACGCGCGCATCTAGCATCCAGGAAGCCGGTATGGCTGATGCTTGCGGCTTTATCTTTTTTTTTTTTTTTTTAATTAGAAATGGGGTGGAGGGGCCCGGAGGAGAGAGAGAAAGGAAAAACAACAGAAAATAATCTCCCCTGGCTGCACCGCGAGCCCAACCTCCCGATGGCGCCAGCACCTCATTGAACCCGTGGGGGCCCAGCTGCCCCGGGGGAGGGGTCCAGGAAGGGCGCTAGCCGAACTGCGGCCCAGCAGCTCCCCTTTGGGGCCCAAAGAGGTCCAGGTCGGGAGGAATTGCAGGGTAATTTGGGGTCCAGGCCCTGCTGCTCCGTGAGCCTTGGTTATTTATCTGAAAAATGAACATGCGGAGTAAAGTCCCTAAGAGGCCTTCTTTGGGAAGCAGGTGCTCACCTTAAGTGACATTTTTGAAATTCTACAATTCATTTGTGCGCTAACTATTCAGTGAACTAGCAGACAGCCTTCCTGCCCTCAAAGTGCTCACAGTCAAATGAGAAAGGCAAAGAACAAATGAACAGAGAAATGAAAAACAAACACATACATTAAGACATTTCAGAGGCGTGGACCATGAATAGCAAAAGCATTAAGAAAAACAAAACAGAGATTGTGATGGAAAGTTAGGAGGGGAGAGGTAAGAAGACAGTTTCCCTTACCTAGGTTGGTAAGAGCGGTGACTCGAGGTCACATAAATGATGACAAGAAGCCAAGTGTGTGAAGCTCAGGAGGTGAGAAAGCTTCTAGGGAGAGGTACCAGCAAGAACAAAGAGCCTGAGGCAGAAAGAAGCTGATATGAGGCAGAGGGAAAGTGGTCAGTTAGGCACTTAGAAAGGAGTGGGATCAGCTCATCTCTGGTGCTGTTGACACAGAGTAACTGCTCTTTAAGAAATCCCAGTTCCATAATCATTTGAGAGATGCAAATCAAAACAACAATGAGATACCATCTCACACCTGTCAGAATGACTATAATAAACAAATCAACAAATGACAAGTGCTGGCGAGGATGTGGAGGAAAAGGAACCCTCTTGCACTGCTGGTGGGAATGCAGATGGGTGCAGCCACTGTGCAAAACAGTATGGAGTTTCCTCAAAAAGTTGAGAATGGAACTCCCATTTGACTTAGTAATCCCACTTCTAGGTCTATATCCCAAGAAACCAGAAACACCAATCAAAAAGGATATATGCACCCCTATCTTACAAAGCTAAAATTTGGACACAGCCTAAATGCCCATAATCAGATGAGTGGATTAAAAAAAACCATGGTATATCTACACAATGAAATACTATGCCACTATAAAAAAAGAATGAACTTTTACCATTTGCAACAGCATGGATGGAACTGGAGAGCACATTATGCTAAGCAAAATAAGCCAGTCAGAGAAAAATAAATATCACATGATTTCATCATATGTGGGATATAGTGATCAGCATAAACTGATGAACAAGAATATATCCAGAGACAAATGGTAAGGAAGGAGGAGAGGTTAGAGAACAACCAAAGGACTTGTATGCATGCATATTAGCATAACCAATGGACACAGACACTGGGTGGTGGGGGCTTGCCTGGGGTGGGAATGACTTGAGGAGGGTTGTTAATTGGGAAAAAGGAGACACATGTAAAACTATAGACCAAAAAAAAAAAAAAAAAAAAAATAGTATGACCTACCCCCCAAAAACCAAAACCCAAAAACAAAACAAAACAAAAAACCCAAAACAACCTAATTCCAGAACAACTTCCCATGCCTGAGCTCCAGGATGGAAAGTATGGAGCACTTAGTCCAGTGATTGGCCATGGCCCTCAATAAGTGGAAGCTCCTATTATTATAACTACAATGAGACATCTGGGGTGAGATCTCTTTCAAACTAGACTTGAGGATTATACAAAAGGAAACTCCACATGAATGGGCCATCTTTATACAAAGGAAGGACTACTTGCATCATCAGGGTTACCATCTGAGCCTGTTTGGGGTTATCTTGATATTAGGAAATGGTCCCATCCTCAGGCCAGGTATCCACAAGTCACACTGATGCCCGTCTTTCTACCTTCTCCATCTGTCCTGTTAGCTCCACCCCATCCATCAGTCCATCAGTCTATCAGTTCATAGCAAGTTTGGTCAGCTCCATCTTCAGCCATCCCCAAAGGCCAAGCCACCACCACCTCTTGCCTGCCTAGTCTCCCTGCTTCTGCCCTGGCATCCTATAGTCCTCTTCCATGGGGCTGGAGAGATGGGATGCTGTCAGTATCATGCTGACAGCCCTTCAGTGCTTTCTGATGCCTGAGAACATTCTAGCCCTGAGTCATCTCTTGCCCCCAGATTGTCCTCCTTCCTAAGCCCTGGTTTGCATCACCTTCTATGGGTTCTTTCTGTTTCTTGGTGACCCCAAGCTTGTCCCCTACCATGACTTGTTTTCAGTTCCTTCTGCCCAGCATACACTTCCCCAGACCTTTCCACTGCTGGACACTCAGATCTCTGCTTCACTGCCACTTTCTCAGGAAGGCCCTCCTTGACCACCCAAGTTAAAGTGGCTCCATCTCTTCCCTTCCAAATTTACCCTTCCTGCCATAATAGCATCTTTACTTAGGCTCCGAAGTGGGCACCAATGTCTGGAATGGCCTATTGTATTTGTTTATGGTATGCACATTGTCTCCCTCTGTAGCTCCTTGAGTGCAGGGCCTTGGCACCTGAGAGATTTCTGATATGTGTCTATTCATATCAGATGAGGCATAAGCTTCCTCTAAGCCAGTCATGTCTAGAGGGGGCTACACATACACCATTGGCATTTAGGGAGCAAACTTAGAATTTGTATTCATAATTTCTGCTTAAATATTTTTTAGTAATAAAATATACACATACATACTAGAGAGTATATAAAACATGTACAAACAGTTTTTTAAATGAACATCTATGTACCCACCAACCTTTCTTTTGCTTGCCTTTGTCATTTTTCCACATAAAGATGATTCCTAAACAATATTGGGATTCATTTTGCATAATTTTAAATTTCATCTCAATTCAATCCTACCATAATTAGAAAGGCATCTTGCTTAGTTCCAACATTTATGTTTCACATACATCATTTTATTTTTTGCTATCGAAAAAGGAAATCAAGCCTCACTAATATTGTATATACACCCCGCACAGAAACCAATGTGTAACCACAGGTGAATAAACCTGGGTTGGGTGCAGTATCAAAAAAGTTGGGAGACTCCTGCTGGGAGCTGTGGGGTGAGGTGGCCAGGACTGGATACCAGGGAGGACCTATAGTACATACCCCACCCTGAAAGCCTAATGCTCCCTCTCTCTGTCTCCTGCTCCAGTGGCTTCTCCTCGGTGGTAGCTCTGGGCGCGAGCATCATCTGTAACAAGATCCCAGGCCTGGCTCCCAGACAGCGGGCGATCTGCCAGAGCCGGCCCGACGCCATCATCGTCATAGGAGAAGGCTCACAAATGGGCCTGGACGAGTGTCAGTTTCAGTTCCGCAATGGCCGCTGGAACTGCTCTGCGTTGGGGGAGCGCACCGTCTTCGGGAAGGAGCTCAAAGTGGGTATGTGCTCACCGGACACTGCAAACAGGCTACTGGCAGACAAACTTTTGGGAGCTCTCTGGGACCTCCTCACCTGCCCATGCTGGGATGATCCTACTGTGGGACTTGAATTCAGGTCTCTATCAAGAGTTGGCTCTCAGGTTTGAATCCAGATGACGCTGGCCCTTTATGGCAGAGTTGAATACTAACTGGTTGATACGGCACTTATGTTGTTTTTTAAATTGAAGTCCAAATTTAAAATTAGTTGTTTTGCCTAAAAATACAAATTCCTGAATTCTTTTGAAAAATAGGCTTACACATGTATCCACATAGTTATTATGGGCTAAAGCTGAGAACATAGCTTCCTTTAGCTGGAGCCAGGGCAACCCCATTCACTGCAATAGTTCCCACTACTGCCTATTATCCATCTTATATTCACCCTTATATGATATTACAGGCCCAGTATATGAAATTCATGCACTGGGGGAAGTAGGGGGTGTGGGAAAGAGTATCCCTCAGCCCAGCCTGTGTCCTCTGACAGTCTGAGAGCCCTTGGCCCCTCCCCCTGACTGAGCAGTACTTCCCCTGTGGGAGCACACTGACCAGCAGGGAGCAGCTCCTGCATTGAGCATCTGCACCTTGGTGGTCAGTGCATGTTCTAATGACTGGTCGTTCTGCCGTTTCAGTCAATTTGCATATTAGCCTTTTATTATATAGGCTGCCTGGCCACTGTGGGCATTTCAGTTTACAACCCCTGTGTGTTGCTTAGACATCGCGCGCTCACCCCCCCCCCCGCCCCCCCCACACACACAGAAGCACAAAGTGTCAGGCCACTTGGCATTTCTCACACTTTCAAACCAATGTGAGAAAATCCTAGTGGAAAGGGGTTGGTCACTGGGAACCCTGGTGAGGGAAAGGCCATGTTGTGTGTCTTGCTTATGTGCATCTGAACTGTAGGACCAGAAACTCTGCAGGCTTGCTTTGAGCTGTGGACCTCCGTGAAGGTCAGGTCAGCCTTGACTCTTTGTGCTGGAGTGGTTCACCTGGCCTACTCCACTGCTCAAAGGGCATCCCTGAGTTACTTCCTCTTGGATCATACAGCTGGTGTATCTGGGCTCTCAGGTTCCCTCTTCCACTCCCATCAACCTGCTGCCCCTGATTCTCCTTCAGGCAAAAACATCCTTTGTAAATGGAAATCAGATTATGTCATTTTCTTGTTTAAAACCCTGGGATCATGATGAAATCCTGACTGCTGACCTCTATCCATCTCTGCCCCCAATCTTCCCTCTATCCCTCTTGCCCACCCAACTTCATCCTGTTTCCAAAACACATCACACTGGGTCCTGCTTTCAGAACATAGCTCCAGAAGTTCTTTATGCCTTAGATCCTTTCCCACAGCCCCATACTCCTGAGCCCTGTCCTCCGTGCACAGTTCCCTCAGCATCCAGGTCTCACAAGCCTCCCTGGGTCCCCTTTCTAAAGTCCCCTTTAGCCAGGAAGCCCCATCCCATCAGCCAAGCAGTTGGCACTATCTGCATCTCTTCCTCACTCTTTGGGAATGCTGGCTCTTGGGGGTCAGGCCCTCTGCCACATTCACCATTGAATGTTTTCTTTCTCCTTCTTGTAAGGAGGAGCAGTAGCTCTCAGCCCTGTGGAAGGTCTCATTTTGTCACCACCTTCTGTAGCTGCTTTCTCACTCACACCTGAGGGGACTGCTGAATACAATCCCAGGTTCAGGGTGAGGCTGGTGGGGGTGTAGGAGCCTCCTCCTTCAGGCCCTCACATGAGTTTTCTTTTCAACATCTTTGTGGGATAGGACCTTGCCTTGCACCGCCTGCCCTTGTTACCCCACTTTCCAACCTCAGGGCTTACTTTTCAGGTGGAGAACCGAGGCCCAGAAAAAAGAGGCACTGCCCACCTGATGCCCAGAAATGGCATCAACACTGAGATTCCAGTTTAGGTCACTGAAATACCCATCTTGTGACCCTCCCCGGTGATCACCTATGGTTTTTCTGCCTACTCATGCTCTCATCCCTGGCCTCCATTTTCAGGACCCATGTCTAGGCTCTAACACTATTTCAATGATGATGAAACTGAACCTCAGAAGGGACCTGCAAAGGTAAACAAAAGTGAATGGCAGGGTCCCCCAGGACTGGGTTGATCCCAGAACAGCTTGCAGTCTTGAAATAGCATTGTAATGGTGCCTGCTGGGGTGCAGTGGCAGGGTATGGTGCAGGGAGGCCTGCCCCCACCCCCAGTGGGCTAGAGTCATAGAACTGAGGGATTCTTTGCAGGCTGAGGCAGAGGACTACCACCAGTACACACTGAACAGGAGTGGAGGGAGGCCTGAGGCAAGGAGCATTCTTTAAGAGGCAGGCTTGGATAGGTAGAGGTGGCCTTAGGGAATTCAAGCAGAGAGGAGTCTAAGAAAACTCATGGGATAGACCTACCTGGGCCTGAAAGAGATGGAGTCAGAGCCAGGAGGCATGTGGTCAATCTAAGCAGTTTGAATTTCTAGGTGGTGAGAGCAATTAGCGAATTTTGATCATGGGCATGACTGACAAAGTAGGTCACATTGTATAAAATAGCCACCATTCAGTGATTTTTGACCCATGACAACATCATATGATTCAGTCTAATAGGAATTCTGGAATTAAAGGGTGGGTACAGAATTCATTCGTTCATTGTCATTCATTGATTCACTCATGCATTCACTCACTGTGGTTGGTGGCTGCTGTTACAGCCTGTGTGGTCTTGGATTCATGAAGGAGGTGAGCCTTAGGCAAATTGGGAGAAAAGTATTTCAGGCAAAGGGAATGGCAGGAACAAAGGCCATGAGGCAGAAACATGTTTGAGGAACAGAGAGGAAGCTAGTTTAGCTGGAGAACAGCAAAAGAGAGAAAGAGGAAAGCTCAGAGGTCAGAGAAGGAGCCAGGAGCTAGACAATGCAATGTCTGTCACACCAAGTCAGGTTTTTGGATTTTCCTCCAGTGAATGGAGAGCAAGGGAGTGATAGAGATCTGGCTTTCAGATTTAGCAGCATTGCTCTGGTTCTGGGAACAGAATGAACTGTGTAGGGGCAAGGCTGGGAGTTCGGAGTCTGGTACAATGTTCTAGACAGGAGGTGACCAGTGCTGTGGACTGAGTGTAGCCATGGAGATCGCTTGGAAGTGAGCTACCAAGGTGAAGGGAGACTAACAACCTAAAGGACACTGAGGAAGGAGTTGCCTTTCTAAAGTGGTGGTAGTGGGAACAGAGAAGATTAGATCAAGATTGGACCCAACTCCTACAAGGCTGAGAAGTTACTTCCTTTCTGAGCCTTGGTTTCCTCATGTGTGAGCAGGTATCCTGCTCAAGGACACCAAGAAGCAAGTCTCCAATTTAGGCTTTCCAGACTCTTCATCAGTGTTCTTGCTCCCATGGGTTGCCTTTTTGTAGGAGTGACCAGTTAATAAGGGCTGCCTTGCAGGGGTGAGGGACCAGGAGTATGATATTTGACTTTGGATTGCCATCCAATCCACACTGCAAAGAGCTGGACACATCTACCTTTATTTTATTTTATTTTATTTTATTTTATTTTATTTTATATTATATTATTTTATTTATATATTTTATTGATTTTTTGCAGAAAGGAAGGGAGAGGGATAGAAAGTTAGAAACATTGATGAGAGAGAAACATTGATCAGCTGCCTCCTGTACACCCCCCACTGGGGATGTGCCCACAAACAAGGTACATGCCCCTGATTGGAATCGAACCTAGGACCTTTCAGTCTGCAGTCTGACGCTCTATCTACTGAGCCAAACCAATTTTGGCACATCTGCCTTTAAAGAGACTTCCCAGAAGCTCCACCCTGTGTTTCTATTTCTATGTCATTGGCTTGAACTTAGTCATATGACATACCTTGCTGCAAGAAAAGCTGGGGAGTACAATCTTTTATTCAAAACAGATATAAGACCAGCTCAGGATCTGTGACTGAGGAGGAAGGGGAACATTGACATTGGAGTGGGCACTAGCATAGGTTTTCCATCCCATGCTGAGACCTAAAGGCTCTCCTTTCACCACCTCCCCAAGTCTCCTCTCCAGTCCCCAGCTCTGTCTGTGTTTTTTGGCTCTGTTTCACATTCTGAGTATTCCAGATTTTGCTTCATAGATCTGAGGACAGCAGTGGGCAAGGCTGTCCACTGACAGGCCCTCTTACAGACCTCTGTGACCTGCATTCCAACCCCATTTGGGCTGTGGGACAGCCAAATAAATACTGGCATCAAAACCCAGTTCAGGCCACCCCAGGAGAAGAGGGGATTCAAGTTGGTCTGTGTAACTGGAAAGTCTGGATGGTGCTGACTTTCAGAATGACTTGGACCAAAGGTGGTGTTGGCTTCTACCAACCTCAGAACCCACCCCATTGGGACAGCATCACAACTTCTAAGTTCAAGTCCTGCAGAAAGGCCGTAGCTTTCTCTGACAGTACCTGCAGAGGTTCTATGGTTCACTCAGATTGGATCAGCTTATAGGGCTTGACTTTTGGTTTTGAGTTCATCCACTCCTATCATAGTGCTTTTGTTGGTCAGGCCTGGGAGCCCCACCCAGACCATTTTTCCTGGGAGGGACTTCTCATGAGTCTGTTAGTCAGCTCCAGCTGCTATAACAAAGTACCACAGGCTGGGCAGCTTAAACACAGACATTCATTTTCTCCCATTTCTGGAGGCTGGTTTCTTCTGAGGCTTCTCTCCTTCTTACTGTGTCCTCAGAAAGTCTTTTCTCTGTGTGCATGCCCTCGATGTCTCTGTGTGTCCTAATCTCCTAACGACATGAGTCAGTTTGGGTTAGGGCCACCCTCATTGTCCCATTTTAAGTTAATCACCTCTTTAAAGGCCTCCAGATATAGTCACTTCTAAATTACTGGGGGTTATGAATTTGGGACAGAACGCAATTTGGTCCATAACAATGAGCAACCAGAGGGAAGCATGGTTTGTGCATTAGGGGAACATATTAGGGGTTTAGTGGTGTTCAGAAGTAAGAC